AGAGAGAGAGAGAGGGGGGGGAGGGAGAGAGAGAGACAGATCGAGAAAGAGAGAGAGACAGAAATAGTCTTTCAAATCATCCCAATATCCTGTTGTCCAGGTGACGAAGAGATCAGTAGCATGGAGCTGGACATCCTACGTCCCAAGTTCTCCGCCATGATTGAAGACATCACGGTCAACGAGGGCGAGGATGCTGTGTTCACCTGCACAGCCACTGGCAAACCCATGCCAACCTTCAAATGGTGGGTCTCTTTCTCGTGTTCTGTGTTAATGTATCTGTGGGTGGTTGGCGGGTGCTCTTTGTGGTGTTTCCTCTTTCTTGGTGTCCTCTTGTTGGTAAAGTCTGGGGCTGTATCTGTGAGTGGTTGGCGGGTGCTCTTTTGTGGTGTCCTGTCGTTGGCTAAGTCTAGGGTGCATCTGTGGGTGGTTGGCGGCTGCCCTTGTGTGGTTAGCTCCTTCTTGATGAGGGTTGTTGTTGTTCGCTCTGATGTGGTTTTCTCTTTCTTTCATATCAAACATCTGTCGTCCTTATCTCTCCTGTTGCTTTCCTATCAAACATCTATCGTCCTTATCTCTCCTGTTTCTTTCCTATCAAACATCTATCGTCCTTATCTCTCCTGTTTCTTTCCTATTAAACATAATATATCGTCCTGTTCTCTCCCACTTCTTTTCTTTGTACGTTACCTCTAGTAACATCTCTAAGTTTCAACACATATAAGATCTATATTTGTGTGTTGCCAGTGCCGTAAAACTCATACTAAACTGAACTAAACTTTCTCCCCTTCCTTCAGGCAAAGAGATATGATTCCTCTGTCCGGCTCCCGAAATGTGGAGATGGAATACGACAACCAAGGTCACGCCAGTCTGACCTTGAAGAAGGTCAAGCCGTCTGACGCGGGCCTGTACTACTGTGTGGCCTTGTCAAGGTCAGGCCGGACCAAGTGCTCCGCGAGACTCCATGTTAAAGGTCAGGGTCACTCACTGTGTGTGTGTGTGTGTGTGTGTGTGTATGTGTTTGTGTATGTGTGTATGTGTGTGTTTGTGTATGTGTGTGTGTGTGTTTGTGTGTCAGTGTGTGGCCTTGTCAAGGTCAGGCCAGGCCAAGTGTTCCGCACGACTCCATGTCAAAGGTCAGAGTCACTCACTAGTTGAAGTAAATGTGTGTGTGTGTGTGTGTGTGTGTGTGTGTGTGTGTGTGTGTGTGTGTGTGTGTGTGTGTGTGTGTGTGTCCTTCTTTTGATGCATATGTTTTACTCCCCCATCGAAACATTTTAGATCCTTTAAGAGGCGGGCATCAGACCCTCCTTGTGCGACACAACATCCCAGCAGAAAGAGCAAATTCTTACTTGAACTCTTAAATTTCTCACACCTGTAGATCCCAATTCACGTGCCCCCCTCCCTCCCCCCTCTGTCCTATCCCTACCCATCTACTGAAATGAAATTATTTATTCCAACCCAAACATTAACAAAAATATTCGCCCCTATGCAGTGTCAAAAAAACAGAAATCTACAACAAACTCAACCCTTGTTGGCATTTATAATATGACCTATTGATGTTCCAAGTGCCGTAAAACTGTTACTGAAACTAACCAAACCTCAACCGTTGTCCCCACAGCCAAGTCCCCATCCCCCATGTCCCCCCGAGAGAGCGTGGAGTACCGACGTTTCGGGTCCCGTGATCTGACGTCCATAGAGCGCGGCACATCCCTGGGAGCCCCCGCCAGTTTCGCGCTCATGTTGCCCAAGTCCCTGGATGTGGTGGAGGGAGAGAGGCTCAAGCTGGACTGCTCCGTCATGGGACTGCCCGCACCCATGGGTAAATAGAGAGAGAGTGGATTGTTCGGAATTGTGCCGTTCTTTTCTTTTCTTTTCTTTTCTATTCTTTTCATTTCTTTTCTTTTCTTTTCTTTTCTTTTCTTTTCTTTTCTTTTCTTTTCTTTTCATTTCATTTCTTTAGTTTGTTTGTTTGTCTGTTTGTTTGTTTGTATGCTTTTTGTTTGTTTGTTGGGGTGTTGTTGTGGTTGTTGTTGTTGTTGTTGTTGTTGTTGTTGTTTTTGGGGGGGGTGGTACCAAGATGCTGATGATATCAGTGTTTTTGCAGTTGTTATTATTATTATTGTTGTTGTTGTTGTTGTTGTTGTTGTTGTTGTTGTTAGATAATGATGATGAACTTACGTTTAGTTGTGTGTCCTTTTTTTCTTTCCTTTGCTGCCGTTAATGATAATTGATACAGCAAGTGTATACTTCCCAGGACGCTGAGAATATTTCTGAGTTAAATCCGGTCTGCTGGGGTAATAATACAGATTGTAAAGAGCAGAGAAGTTGGTGTTGGGTGGGGATATACGCTATACAAATTATGTTATTTTGATTTAATTGTGTTACTTTTTATTAGTAGATATCAGAGGTATGGGATGGTGGTGGTTTGGATGTTGTTGGTGCTATATTATAACTGTTTGGATGTTGTTGGTGCTATATTATAACTGTGTGGATGTTGTTGGTGCTATATTACAACTGTGTGGATGTTGTTGGGTCTATATTATAACTGTGTGGATGTTGTTGGGTCTATATTACAACTGTGTGGATGTTGTTGGTGCTATATTATAACTGTGTGGATGTTGTTGGGTCTATATTATAACTGTGTGGATGTTGTTGGTGCTATATTACAACTGTGTGGGTGTTGTTGGTGCTATATTACAACTGTGTGGATATTGTTGGTGCTATATTATAACTGTGTGGATGTTGTTGGGTCAATATTACAACTGTGTGGATGTTGTTGGGTCTATATTACAACTGTGTGGATGTTGTTACTTTTAGCAAAGTCTTTGTTTTGTTCACTTTACGTTTGTATTGTTTACTGTGGTCATCAAAACTCCACATGCTCTAATACGGCTTCGCCTTCACCCCTTCCTATCACCCACCCAATCTTTGTCTCTCTCTCTCTCTCTCTCTCTCTCTCTCTCTCTCTCTCTCTCTCTCCCTCC